TAGATTTTCTATTTTTCCTTAGTTCTAGTTTTTTTTCTATAAAAGACACAAGAGACAGAAGTCACAGAAATCTGACGAAGCTAACTTAATCCTTGCTAACACGTACAGCTTCGGACACCTTTGCTACATACATGCGCAGCTGATCAGTGATGGACTGGCTCAGACAAAAGTTTTAGGCTGCATGTGGACATCAACGGGCAAATCCACGCGGACCCTCATGTACTCATGGGCGATAAGACGAGTGACAAACGAGTATTTGTCTTCATGCAGTCGGCGCCAATTCAATACTTCTTCCAACTATTTCATTAAAGCAGCATTTTAACGACGGTAGCTGTCAACACGTTGGGTCAAAATTAAGATTTTCTTTCTCTATTGTTGTGAACTGGTGAGGCAAAGAGCTGCAGGTGTTACAGTTTTTAATTTTCACGTACACAAAATAAAGGACAGCAAAGTCGTGAACATGGTTTCAGTGTAAATATGTAGATTTGATGCGATTTCAGCAGAGGCGGCACTGACCTCTGTGTCCAGGAGCTGATGTAGCCCAGCACCCGCAGGGCATGTTCCTTCTTCAGCTGAAAGCCTCCTTCACTGCCGTCTGCATCCGATACTGAGGAGAGAAAACCCAAAGCACCTGTTAGAAAGCAGCTACGTTATTCGCTGGAACTCGACTGAAACACAGATCACTTTATTTTTTTGTAATTCGTGAAAGAAATGTTGGGTCAGCGCCAAAAGTGAACACTGCCTGGTTCAAGTCTATCACAACCAAACATTAAAAACAGACTGTGGTCAGTATCAAAAGAACAGAGGCTACGCGATCCTGACCACAGCACCACAAACACTGGATTTATCAGCATGCAGCTTAGGAAGCATCTTTCCACCTCTCCAGCCCAGGTTTAAAACATTGGCTAAAGACACTGGATAAAGTTAGACCCGCTCAACCTTTGTGAGAAAACATCCTCTAAGATCCACTATCATGGCCTTTGTCAACCCATTTCTAACATCTACTTTAAACACCTCCGTGACCTCCCAATTGCCAAAAAATGAGACATTTCTTTCCCGACAGCCCAGATTCCCCTCTGTCCTCCGGCAGCTGTTTGGAAGCTATTTACAGAATATGTGCATTATTCATAACCGCCCCGTCCAACTGGAATACAACCTAATGAATAATGCACGTTTCCTTACGCTGCAGCTTTGCCGCGCCTGTTGCATGGTTGAGACTTCACCAAGATGTTTCAGAACGGTGAGCTCCTGTTTCAGTTACACAGCAAAGCAAAAGGCATTTTTCACAACATTTGTAGAGGCGGCTAGGCTAGCGTTAGGGCCACCTGCTGATAACTNTTCTTTATGTTCAGCACTTTGGTCGACTGTGATCGTTTTTTTAAATGTGCTCTATAAATACATTTTGACTTGACTAACCAGCGAGCCACCCTGCAGCCGCCTCCATTAAATGCAAACAGTAAATACATTAGACCAAGCAGCCTCCATTAGGTTGGAGTTGTTAACAGATAGTCCGTTCCACTATCAACCCATTTGGTGATTTGATGAGAATACATCAACCAAGCAATCGACCAGAGGACCTGGACACTACAGCCCGACCATTCTGACAACAAAACAAACCTCTGACTGCGCTACAAAAAGTCTTTGAGTTGAAATATGACTGACAGACTGGATATTGAGAAAGCAACACACGTAAGATGACAATTTAAGAACATCAAGACAAAAAGGAAGTGACGCTATAAGCTTCTCATCACATCATGTGTTGAGGTCCTCGGCTCTGTTGCCACGTGTCAGAGAACCTCTTAAGTCAGCGTGCAGAAGAAACTTTTTTTAAACTCCACAAAGACGGAAGACTCGCACAGAGGACGTACAGCAGAAACAAGAAAAGACTGCTTTGGAAGAATGAGTCAGCAGATCTGTAACGCTCTGGTCAGCGACTTTAAGTTTGCTTTAAACACCAAATGCAGAAACATTCCAGCTGCATGAATAAGAACAAACCAAAAACAAACAGCAAACTAAACAAGACTCATAATTACTGAGGATCTTCTTGTCATCTGCTGGCCTCGGATGTCAGAGCAGATCCAGTCTGTTCTGCTCTCACAAAACACAAAACTCTCTGCTTGGAAAGAAAACTTTTTGGAATGTTTGTTTTCTATCAAAGCGAAGGTTAGCAGAGCATGAAGATTCATCACAGTAAAGACAGAAACACCCACAGAGCCACAGGCAGCTTTACCAGGATTCATGCTTTGCTCAAAAGTAGCTCGACTGGAGTTGCTGAAGAAGTGCACAATGAGTCATTCATAGCCCCTGATTAAAGAAGCTAGCATGACTGAAGTCTGTCTTCATTTGTAGATATTCCTCACTGCTATACATCACTTTGAAGGTGGTTTTTCCAGCATGTTGTCCACTATCTCCATCATCTCTACTCCTTCATCCTCACTATGGGGGGCTGGAGTCTATCCCAGCTGACTCAGGGTGAAGGCAGGTTCACCTGGACAGGTAAC